CGCACACAGCCTGCTTCTTTCGTCTCTTTCTTTTTACAGACGACGGTATCTGCAGCCCTTCCGGCTAACGTACTGACTAAGAATGTATTCAGCATGTTACGAATGAGTCATTCAAGATAGCTTAGTCATTAATAACTTGTCCAGGGTCATTCTATAGCATAGATGTTCTTTTTATTATGTACGGGACAAGGACAAACTAATAATGTCATTAACAAGTATATATAGAAAAAGAAAGCGATAAAAGTATCGATAGATAACAGACAGAAAAGGCATCGCAGGAATTTCAATCGCGGAAAAACAAAAACTTACACGTTAAGTTCATTTATTACAAATGTTTCTAAAGAATTAACACAAAATAATGATGAACAAATGTATTGCAAACTAATCTCTTTCTTTCACTATAAATATCAGTTATACTCTCCTCTATATTGTAAAGCCAAAGATATTGCACCAATAGCTTTTCTTATTATTTCTTTTTATTAATAGCCAGCATCAAAGGATCATCCATGGCGTTCAATGCCAAGACATGCAATGACACCACATTATTCAGGTACAACACTTGATGCTCAAGCACGTTATGCAGCTGGTGTCAAAGAAATTCTTGAAAATTGGCTTAATGGAAAACCGCAACGACAAGAATATTTAATTGTTGACAAAGGACAAGTTGTTAGCCCTGCTTACACAGTAGGTGATGCAACCAAAGGAAGCACATAAGAGAAAATGGACGACTATTTTTATCCTTATAAATTTTACTGTAGAAGCGGAATCTATCTATGTAGTTTAGTTTTATAAAAAAACAAGGTGATTAGCTTTTCAATGACTTTTGTTTATTTTATTTTATCGAGTTCATTATAAACATTAATAAAAAAAAATGGAGAATAACCCACTGAAAAAATTTCAGATTATATTAGATTATGTGAGATTTTAGCCAAATTTTTTCACTGGGAAATAATTGTTTATTTTATATTTTTAAATACTTATTCATCATAGTATTTTCATGTTTGAATTGAATTTCGTGTTCAATATTTTTTCTCAATATACAAGAGTCTTGAACAGACTTGATTTTGATTGCATTTCTTTGAAGCAGTTCTATCCATTGTGCTGGTTGTATATACTTAAGTATAAAGAGCAAAATGAGATGATTCCATGATTTTGAGTCATTTCTAGTATAAGTCAAAGCACTACTTCGATAAAACATAGAAAACTAGAATATTGAATTGAATTAATGAAAGACCAAAGCAAATTTGTCGACTTAGCTGACCTTTTACATTAGTGATGTGGAATGGAGGCATGTAGCGCTTTTACTCTTGACTCATACTAGTCTCTGCGGTGAAGTCTTTGTTTGTTTCATGTTTTGATAGTAAGTGAAAAGAACGCATTAGATTTATCGTTATTTAATGTCAGTATTTTTGCGTTACCATGATCCATTGCGATGCATGCTCCATTGTTATCAGTATCAGAGTTGCTGAATATAAAAATATTGGCATTAAGTTAATACCTTTCTTTTGGATTATGAGTCATAGAATCTGAGGAAATTTGTATGACTATGTGAACATACTACGATCAACCTATTTCGAATTCGTTAGACTAGTCATCAAAATTGTATCTTAACTTTATTAGAAAAATCAAATTAGATGACATTATTGGTAGAATCAACTAGAGTATGTATATTTTATCGAAAACTTGAAGAAAAAGAAAGCAAAGTGAATTATAAGACCAAAATTAATTATTAGTTTTCTTGATGATTGTATTAATGGCAATATTATTGCTCCATGATACATTATTAACCCTTTGAGGACGGATGGGTCATTTGGGTGTGGGTGTGGGTGTCGCTGTGGATGTGGATGTGTGGGTGTGGGTGTGAGTAAAGGAAAGATCTATATCTACACCCACATCCACACCCACACCCACGCCCACACCCACACCCACCCACACCCACCCACACCCACACCCACCCACCCACACCCACACCCACACCCACACCCACCCACACCCACACCTACACCCACACCCTTATCTTTCTCTTAAACTTAGAGTTCTGTATACACTTATGTTGAATATTCAATATTAACAAAACTGATAATGGTAATGTATTATTACTTTGAACTGATGTTAATATACTATCATATGAAAGTTGTTCATAGGATAATAAATCATGTGTACCTAACCGTTCAATATTTGTAAATAAATTATTTGAACTTGTATCTAATGTTGAACATGTTTGCATATATTCACCACCGATAAAAAAAGAGCAGATAAAATCTAGTTTGTTTTTCAATCTTGTTACTATTGTGTTGCATTTATTTCTAAAGTTTCTTCTTTTTTTTTAAATTATTTGTTGTTTGTTTATTTTCATCATTAGATTGATTTATGGTGGATTAATTGAAGCTAAAAATGAAGTCTATATTTCTTGAAATTGTATTCTTGATAATCAACCAACTTCAAAATTGTCTTGATATATGTATACATGAATTAAATATTAGTAAACAACAATAATAATATAGCTATGCAACGTAAATCATGTCAATAAATATATGATATATATTTATATAAATTATTTCTGATATAAATATTTTAAAACGTAATAAATCATGTATATCACCTGTTGAAAATTGACATGTTAATTCAACATGATTTTGTATTTTATCAAAATATATTGATAGAGAATCTATGAATGCAATTGGATATGGTTGATTATTAGAAGCATGATAAAAGACTTTTTTCATAAATTGTATTAGATGTTGTTTCAATGTCATTTTAATTTGTTTCATTTGATATAACTATACAAAATCCTAGGAAAACAAACAAAGAACAGATTTATATTGTTTCTTATTTTCTCCAATTAATTTTCATTTACTATAAGGATCATACTAAAAATTTAATGCTGTGGAAAAAATCCAATACGTTTTCGGATGAGTTCACGAGTTCAATCTTATAGAAAGTTTATCGAAATTCTCGAATGCAATTTATTTCGAAATATAATAGTAGAAAGACGTCGTTTTCTTTAATTGTAATAGTACAAATAGCACGACTGAGAATTTGATCAATAAGATTCGAGAGAAACTATTCGGTCATTGTACTAATGTAACTTAAATGCTTTCCTTTACGATTTGTATTGCCTGAAATTCTGCATATTTTCTATTTCAAAATATTTTTTGAAATTTTGATTTATTCAAAAGTCTCATCTATTACTAGCACATAAACAATGTCAAAGTAAAAAAAAAACATTTCTTTTAATTGAATTAAAATTTTTATTATACATATATATTTATTTATTTCGATAAATTAAACTAAAATATACCGGTGACATCATAAATGATAATCATTTTTTATAAGTTATATTTTTAAGCATTTGTGCATAAATTTTTCTTGTTATATCTATAGGATAATTCAGATTATTAAAATCTTCTTTAATAATATCGATTGATATTGTTATTGATAATATTTATAAAATTTATGGTATATATTTAGGTCATAATTGTTTATTTAATGGTAATGGAAGAAATTGTTCAATTAATAAAACTAATATAAGACCATTTTCATCTAAATGTATTCCTTCACAAAAAAAATAAATGACTTGCAACTGATGTATGATGTATAAGATAAAATAAAAAATAATAATAATAATTGATAATGTGTTGTTATTGATGTAAAATGTTCAACATATAATTTTATGATGACATATTAAATCACAATAAGATTGTCATTGACCACTGATAGATAAATGTATTCTTGATGATGATGGTGTTAATGTCGGTGACCAGCATGCTTCTTGTGTATAATCAAGCATATTCAGAATATGTATCCATTGTAATAATAATGAGATATAAAATGATGATCATAATCATTTAAAACATTCATTTAAAATAGTTAAATATGAAAATATATCAAGACAATGTAGAGTTTCATCATGAATTCATAATTGACGAAAATCATTTACAATTGTTCGAAATTGTTTAGCCAAAATAAAATCATAGATCTTATATAAGAATAGGAATTTTAAAGTCAAATGTATTTCGCTAGCTCATTAGTAATTAATGAATTGCAGGAAAATTTTATCTTCAAATTAATGGGTGATATGTACATAAAGATAATCGGATGCAAGAGAAACTAATGTCATATTGATTTGACCACATAATTGTCAAGTATTAGTTAAAATTAGTAATATTACGTCATGTAAAATTCGAAGAAAAGCTCTGAAAACAAAAACCAGAATAATAGTTTTTAAATTATAAATAAAATCATTTCGAATACTGATGCACTAAAAGTTTCATCTCGTGTTCCATTAACTAATAATAAAACATCATTCTATCGTGTTAATATAGCATCTTCAGTTAAATTTTCTACAAGTCATCGAAGTGCTATATTTATATTGATTAACTATCGATTTGTAGATTGACAATTGACATTCTAAAAAATTTTAAACTACAGGAAAATTTTATAAATAAAAACAACAAATATTTCTATTTACTAATGCTCGGAAAGCAACATCAAATAGTGTTAATTGTGTGGAATAAATATCCAAAAGTGATTGATTCTATTTGAACAAAAAAAAGAAACTAACGTAAAATCAGAGACTATTAAAACAAAAAAATAACCTGAGATTGTAAATGAGCAAGAAGTAAATCGACAATTTGTCGTGAAAGATGTTTTCATTTATCATCTTCATTTCGAACACTATCAATAATAACTGTGAACAATCGTAAAGCCTATAACAATATAAATTCTATTATTATTTTTTCAGTACATACACATGATATGAAAAGATACTTTTATTTATAATAATTAAGATGCCTAGTTTTCCCTCAAACTCAGATACATAACAACAAGATGATTATTTTCAGATCATCGATTCGTTGAAGTGTGGGTGTGGGTTCAATCAAGGAGAAAAATTACATCTACACACCCACACTCACACCCTCTCGAGTTTCTAAGATATTGGAGACTTTATAGAAGGACACCTTTTCTTCACTCTCATTTAATAAAACTTTTTAGGAATTTTAATTATTCGCATAACTCGAACAAGAAAAAAAATCATATAAAACTGGTTCTAATGCTGCCAAAGCTAAATAAAGAATTTTAACGATAATTTCTTTTTCTCGAAAATGTTTTTTTTTGCTTCCTACTATGTGTTTCAGGTTCATGTCCACTTGCTAATAATGAATCATAATGTTTTATTAAATCTTGTATTTTAATAACTTGTTTTGAATGAAGTGTATCATGTGATAACATAACAAGAGATTCAGCAATACAATAAATAAAATGCTATTTAAAAATAAACGAAACGATTAGAAATGCAACGAATTTCATCAGCTTCTAATTAATCATAATTAACACAAATTAAAAGTAATTAAACAACTAAATCGAGTACAGCAGCTTGAAAATCACTTTCATTTGTATATTAATATATTTTTTAAGACTAATTTTTTAGTTCAATAAAAACTAAAATAGAAAACAAAAAAAAACAGAATAGATCAAACTCGTTTTTTTTGTTTATTTTACTGTCGTATTGCACTATTTTCTATGGATTGATCACTATTTATACTTGATGCATAACGTGAACCAAATAAAATAAATTATCAGTTGTTGAATACTTATTGTATGAATATAAGTTAAAGAATTATTTAATGATACTTGTGAAGAAACATTTGAAGATTTAATAAAAACTAAATTAAAAGAATACTTTTAAATGAATGTTGTGTTAACAGAAAAAATGATTTTCAAATTTCGAATTGATAGTGTGTCTTGCAGATCGCTCACGTAAACTAGATGATTTAATATTCGAATTTCAAGATAGAACCGAATCAAAAGATCTGACACTTTCACAACAAAACTACTCTCGTTAAGATCATCGATTTTTGTAAAATCAGTTTTTCTATTACTATGACATTCTTACATTGAAATTTTGCTTCTCTAGGAAAGACCCTTTCAGAAACCTTCATTATAAGATTTCCATCTAAAGTTTTATCTGTAGACAAGTTTCAGACACAATACAACATCCTAAAGGTTTTAGCTTAAACAATAAATAAAGAAAATTAATAATTGAAATTTTCTTTACAATAAATATTTACTATTTAAAAGAAGTTACCTTTTGTGTACATTGAATGTTGATTTAAAATAAATAAGTGTTTCTCTTCCAAATTTTTTTGATAAATCTTGTGTAGAAATAAGACTTAAAACTGATTTCATAGACAATAATGATCATTTCCGATGAATTTAATAAACTTTTATGTATTTGATAAGATGAACGTATTAATTCGAATAATTTCCAAAAGTACCTAATTGTGTATGATTAACTTTTTTAACTTTGTCTGTGTTTGATGTTGTTGATGAATCTTTTTCATTCTATTTAAAAAGAAAAAAACAAATGAATTCATTCAGACGAAACATGATCAAATATATTCTTCAAATCTAACACTTCGGAACTCTATTCTTCTGTGAAAACTGAAATATCAACTATATTCTGTTCAAAAGAATGATGATTGTGCATATTTTTGCAATAATTCGAGAATGGTAATAGAATAGTTCATTTGTTGAGATTTGATAAATCTTCAAATAAAAAGAAAGAATTCAAAAAAAAAACATAAAAAATATCTTTGTTTTTCTCTTTACTTGAAAAGATTAAATTATTAAGATCATGTAATATAAAGGGATGTTTAAAAAAAAAATTATAAATAAACGAAGTTCATCATATTGATTATGAAAAATTGGTCGAATTGTTGTTGGTCTTAAAACATTTGAAAGAACATAAATATCTTCTAAACATCCAACCCATATAAAAGACAAAAATGACAAACAATTTGTATTCGAGTTGATGCTTGAGTTTGTAATGAATGATGAATTTTATATATCCATTGACATGGTAAAAATGAATTGTGATCAACAAAACCTTAAAATCAAAAAGTAGCTAATAACTAACTTAATGCAATAAAATCGACTTATGCATTCAAATTCGAAAAAAAACTACTTAGTTATTATCTCTACAAAATACATACTTAGCAAAAGTCGAAGCAGTTGCTTGACGAACACGTATATCAGGGTACTGTTGTTTTAATTGTTTTTGTTGTTGTTCAAGATAAGTTAATGTTCGAAAATCAATATCATTCATAAGTTGAGCTAGAGCAAACTATTTTATATACATACAAAAAAAAAAATTATTATAATCACAAATTTCTTTTATCTACTTTAGCAAGAATACAGGAACTTGTAGTATGTTGAATAGAATCTTCTAATAATTTAATTCCTATGATTGTAAATGCATGACTATTAATTAATAAAAAAAGGTAATAATGTTCGTAAAGCATTTAGTGAAACATATATAACACGTGTATTATTATCATTAAGACATATAACCTTGAACTGTCTTGTAAATCAGTTGATACAAGTGAACATTGATTAATAAAAGAATTATTACATGAATTTGATAATGATGATAGTGTTAAAAGATGAATTGTTGTTTTAATTAATGTAACAAGTAAATTTGCACATGCACCACGTAAATGTAGATCACCGTATTCACATAAAGATAAAAGATATGTAATATCTTAAAGAAAAGAAAAAAAAAGATACCTTGATGTTCGATAAATTTTAATGTATTTCAAGTCATATAGAGATGTGAATTTCATTTTTCTCATTAGGAAACTTCATATCAGTTACAAAATCTTTATTTAATCAGAAATCTTCAAAGACTAAAGAAAAACTTCTTAGAGGATACAATTGATTTCATATCCCGAACGTCAGTTTAGAACTATTTTTTGAGGTAATTGTGTGATTGTATAATTTCAATCTCTGATGTATAAATGCAGGCTTTGAGCTTTAATAAAGTGTTCTACTTGATATCGTTTCGAGTCTGATAAGGTTCTAGTCTTTCGTTGATTTCAAAAAAATTAAAAGTAGGAATAGAACTAGAGCTGCTGAATCAATATTCAGAAATCTCCGTTCTTGAATTTTCAGATTCCAATATATATATATGTTTCAACAATTTAATAGTGAAATTGTCATATCTATCAGATAACTTTCACTAAAACTTTGAGACCTTAACCAATTGAAGCCACGTCAGCTAAACTCTGCCACAATCCCCTTCATCTAGGCCCTCCTACTGTTACGACATTAGAAATAATTGTGGATTATAAAATAGATCTATTTTACTGAAGTGAAACTTTACAAAAAGAAGCCTCAAACGAGCATTAAACATACTTTCAATAAGGTAATCAAATCGACCAAATTGTTGATAAATACGATAGACATATTGGTATAGCACATTTAACACTAATACATGATTCATCATCACTTTTTATCGTACCATCCATATTGAGTATATATCTAATTGAAAAAAAAATATAATTGATTAACAAGTTTAGCAGCTTATCGTTCGTTTTTCATTATTAATCATTGATGTTGAATCGAATTTATCATTCATTTCAATAAATCAACGTTGACATGTTGAATAAGCTATTGTTTTAGAAAAAAAAAACCCAAATAAAAAAACTCGTTTCTTTCTCAATATTTACCTGTTTGTAATGCTTGACTAACACAAGTTTTTTTCTATAGATCCAATTTGAATTGAAATTAATAATTGATCAAAATCAAATAAATTTGAATAACGAAGTAATTGAATAATTAGTTTATTAAATCGAGATAATCAATTATTAAACGTGTACTAGCATTTTGATTTTGATGTTCATGTAATTGATCTATTAAAATAAAATACAATTATAATGAATTGAAATTATTATTTGGAAGAAACCTTATCAATTAGGGTGTGGGTGTGGGTGGGTGTGAGTGAGGATCTTCTCTCCATTTACTTCCACCCACATTCCGCAGCCACACCCACACTCCACACCCACCTCCACCTCCACATCCACATCCATACCCACCCACCCCCACACCCACACCCGTTTAATACTCTGCCCTACCTTAGTATCCATATTTTACTTATGTCAACTTGAAAGAATGTCACAATCAAACTTGGTATGGTTTAAAATGAATCGCGTACCTGACAGCAGCAACGGCATAGAAACTCGAAAATAAATCTAATATTAATTGATTTTTTTCTGGTTAAAAATTGATTCAAAATATTAATATTTTAATCAAACTATTCAATTTTTAATCGGTTCTAATCACCATGCTGATGAAACCCAATTTTCTGGAGATTTAACTAGAAAACTGCAGTTTTTTTCTGGATTTTTCGCCTTATATAATTACTGTAACAATAGGCTAACTTTCGACATACATCATGCTTAAAGGTACGATAGAAAAAAGATAGTTACTTATGTAAAGCAAAATGGCAATAAATCTAGTCCCTCCTTTTCCACAGAATAAAAAATCATGGTGTTTTTTATGGAATATCACGTCGTTCTTTCAAAAGTGGTCTTTTACAACGGATGAGTTTTATGCGAACATATGTCTATACAATCAAAGATCTTTGAGGAAATTTTCTGTAATTCAAATTGACGTTTTTAACATATACGTGATGCGCAATACCAGGTTTTTCACTTGGAAAAACATCTTTAATAGGGAAAAAAAGTGATGTTAATTACGAAAAAACGTTTTTTTACTCGAAAACCAAGTTTTTATGTGCTGAACCTCACGAAACTAGCAGAATTTTTGAAACAAAATTTCGCAAAATTCATGATTTTATGTTACCCTTTGTAATATTGTTTAGTGGGCAATCTTCTAATATAGAATGATCTTCTACTCTTGTGAAATGTTTGATAAAAAGCGACTATCTTCTAATTGAGTAGATCAAAATTGAATTATAATATTGCCATTTTAATCGAATTTTTAATCAGAAAAACTAAAGTAGAATCATTTTTTTTATTTTTTATGAGCATAAGACAAAAATTTCTTGCTCTGCTCTGTGACGGTCTCTGCTTCACATTCATTACGATTATAGGATGAAATTGAACTTGAGAAAGGCGTTATTGATGTTATTAAAACTGATGATGATAAATGCAAAGATTAATTAAGGTTTGCGCAGCTTTGACTCTAGTGACGTGATTCAAAGGTCTAAGATCAATGAACATCTTTTCTCTAGTAACCAGAGGAGGGATGGCAATGGAAAAAAAACACTGAATGACATTATCAACAAGACTTAGATTGTTCTAAAATATTTCAAAGCCTTCCTTGGGCTTCGAACGGCTAGAATAGTTTGTGAATATTTTAAATAGTACGATTTTTTTATTTTTTGTGCAGATAAATATTTATATTTCAGATGCCAAGAATAATAAGTAATGATTCATTGATTTGCCATTACTAGTTAAATCAATAGTTAAATAATAATGAAAAAAACGGAATACCAACATAAAAAGCAATAAGACAAACAAAAATTACAGAGCCAATTAAAAAAATAAATAAGACCGATCATTTCTCTCGTGATTGATTATCCTTTGAAAATAACAACAAATATTCACTGGAGATTTTTCATTTAACTCATTTTGTATTCGTAAAGTATTAGAGATTCAAAATTTAAGAAGAGATTTATTTTTGTTTTATTTGGATAGAACTCATGGAGTTACATAGGAAAAATACTATGTTAGAGGTTTGAAAGGTGGCTTTCGCTGAAGAAAATTCAAAATAATAAGTTTTTCAAAAACATGCAACATGCATGAAATTTTAAATATTACGTCAAATCTTCGTGTTTATTGATGTTTTAAAATTTCAAAATTAATTTTTTTGTAATTCTGTATGTAAGCCTGCATATAAAATACTGAATAAGCCGTTTTTTGTGATCTAAAATGAACTGTGTCCTCTCAAAATATATGTGTGAATCCTGAAAGAACTTTTTGTGCACATTGCCAACTTCTCAAGTACTTTTGTATAAATGATGAAAAAGTTATGTATCTGTAAAAAAAACGCAATGATTCGTTATTTGGAAAAACAAGTTTTTCGCTATCAATGGTACACTCATTAAAAATAGACTCATTTTTGGACATTTCGATCAACAAAGTTTTGTTTTCAAATAAAATGCATGTGATGTTCGATATCAGGATAAAAGCTGAATCAAATAACAGAGATTTTATTACAAAATATTTTTCATCGAAATTCGATCTCAATAGGCACCCCGGCGAAATCATTTCGTATAAGCCATAGGAGAAATAGGGATCGAATTTCGATGAAAAATATTTTGTAATAAAATCGATGTTATTCAATTCAGTTTTTATCCTGATATCGAATGTCGCAGAGTGTGGATGTAGGGTGGGGGTAAAGATGGATTTCGGTGTGAGAATGAGTAACTAGATCAATCACACCCACACACTCAAATGTAGAATGTTGCAGGACAGAATATAATTCAGTTCAGTTTTAGATTGTCTTGGTTCAGATTGAAATATCGAGACAATTAATTGAAATATCCGAACTATTTTGCATTCGTATCAAAAACAGCGTTATGTTGGTCGTGAAAATGAGTCTTCTTTTGGGCGTCAAAACAGCTTGTCAGAGAAATAAACATACACTAATAAACATGTTTTACATTGCGGATCGCTGCTCTAGCGGCGATTTACGATATTCTACTCTTAATCAAATATGTTTTGTGCTTGTTTGAATTTAATGCCAGAGCAGGCACTGACGTCATCTTGGAGCTGGCTTAGATTTTCCGAATGATTTCCATCTATGTTCAAATATTTTTTATGTGACTTTATACTCTAGCAATATGGTTTTAATTTAGCTTCTATAGATAGTCTGGTTACCAGCAAGTGCCTGAAAATTTTCCAAAACGAGTTCGACGATAACGAAAGATGTTTCTCCGCACTCGCTACAAGTAGTTGTCCTTCCCAGGACGATAAATCTAGCTATCGAATTCAATGGGAAAAATGGCTTATACCAATGGGAAAAAAGCAGTGCATTCGATAAAAAACAGACTGTCAGGGTATGAATTTCATGTAAAATGTGTGTAATATTCGAAACCAGCATAATAAATCGGATCGAATGACATAGACTTCATTAAAAAAATATTTGTCATAGAAACTTGACCCGAAAGGACACTCAGACGAAATCATATCCACTGAATCAGAGTAGAAGGTGGGTTTGAATTTCGATGACAAATATTTTTTAATGAAATTTATGCCATTAGATCCGATTTGTAATGCTGATATTGAATATAGCATACATTTTATTTGAAAACGAAATCTTAGTAGTCAAAATTTCCAAGTACACGCTCAGTTTTTATTATTCTACTCCTAATATCGAAAATGTTGATTGTCGGCATAACGAATTTTTAGTTTTTTTTTTTCATTGGATGTTCTGCTTTTTGTTCGTTGGTATGCTAAATGTAATCCACTGAAAATTATTTTTTCATCACTCATACAATAGTACTTGTTAAGTTTGCCATTGCGTAGAAAGCCGTTTCATGATACTACTAGTATTTTGAGAAGACAAAACTCTAGGGTCCTGCGGGAACGACTTTTTCCCGTGTTTTCCCGTCCCGTTTCCCGCGGGAATCGGGAACGGGAATTCCCGTGAGATCTCGGTCACGGAAATGCGGGAACGGGAATTCTGGTGAACAGTCCGGGAACGGGAACACGGGAACGGGAATCTTACTGAAAAATTTGTGTTCCCGGCAAATCTTATGTCCGATTTCTTTTTGCATTAAAATCTGTTAATGTAACAGTACTTAATTTTCAACAACTATTTGAAATATAATCGAAAAGATAACAAATATCAGTCAACAAAATCCGACAAGTACATTCAGTGTTCAATCAGTAATAGATTATGAGAACCTGGATTTTCTTTACTACCATCATCGTCGTCGTGGACATCGAAGCTTGGATCATCAAGATTAACTTGCAGTACAGCTATATCATCATCATTTTCTTTTGAGTGTTTCAATTTTTTTATGAAGGTTGTCGCACGGCAACTGATGCTTCTTTTTCTTGATTGTTCAATTGATGGAGGAAATAATTCTCTTAGCAATGATGAATTTCGACGTATAAATAATAGTTGATTTACTTTATTTATTTGCAAAACCGTTCGACATTGTGAATGTAAAATAAAATTTTGCGCAACATTGTTTACATAAATTTGAGAATAGCTTGCCCAAAATTTGCTTCTGACATTGTCAGGATTTGCGAATGAAATTGAAGAACTATTTAATTTTACAAGATCTTGAATTTCTGCCTTTGACAACACTGACGCCTTAGAAACTGTTGACGACATTTGGAACGTTCAAAACAGTTACGAATCCTAAAATGGAAAAAAATAATACTCAATAAACTAAAATAGAAAAAGTTAACCAACAATAAATATAATTCCATATGAACCAAATCAATGTAGACAATATAAATAAATTGATATACATAATTTTGAATTAATT